AGGAAGAGATATTTAACATTTCAGAAGACTGCGACAGCATCTCACGAAAGAGGGATTCCTTCACACCGGAAGTACAAGATATAGCTTCGGATAGAGAAGCCACGGAGAATGAAAATGACGCTAATGAAATGACGGAAGAGCAGTGGAACATCGTAAGGAATGACTGCGACAGTATCGTAAAAGAGAGGGATTCCTTCACACCGGAAGTACAAGATATAGCTTCGGATAGAGAAGCCACGGAGGGTGAGTTGGACGATGATGAGCAGCAGGAAGATAAACTTAACATTTTAGGAGAAGACTGCGACATCATCTCACAAGAGAGGGACTCCTTAACACAGGAAGTCCAAGATACAGAATCCGATATAAAGCCCACGGAGAATGAATTTGACGCTAATGAAATGACGGAAAAGCAATGGATCGTCATAAGAGATGACTGCGAAAATATCGTTAAAGAGCTAGAGTTCTTAATACTAGAAGCCCAGCAGATGGGAGAGGATAGAGAGGACTCAGTGTGTGAGATGGGCGAGGATGAGCTGCAAGAAGAACAATTTAATATTTTAGGAGAAGACTTCGACAGCATATCACAAGAGAGGGATTCCTTCACACCGGAAGTACAAGATATAGCTTCGGATAGAGAAGCCACGGAGGGTGAATTGGACGATGATGAGCAGCAGGAAGATAAATTCAACATTTTAGGAGAAGATTGCGACATCATCTCACAAGAGAGGGACTCCTTCACACCAGAAGTACAAGACATAGCACTGGATAGAGAATCCACGTTGTGTGAGTTGGATGATGATGAGCAGCAGGAAGATAAATTTAACATTTTAGGAGAAGACTGCGACATCATCTCACAAGAGAGGGACTCCTTAACACAGGAATTCCAAGATATAGAATCGGGTAGAAAGCCCACGGAGAATGAATATGACGCTAATGAAATGACGGAAGAACAATGGAACATCATAAGGGCTGACTGCGACAGTATCGTAAAAGAACTGGAGTTTTTAATACTCGAAGCCCAGCAGATGGAGACGGATAGAGAGGACTCAGAGTGTGAGATGGACGAGGATGGGGTGCAGGAAGACGAAAGACACATTATAGGGGAAGACTGCGGCAATATCATAAAATAGCTAAACTCTTTTATACTTGAAGCCCAGCAGATGGGAATGGATTGAGAGGCCAGAGTGGAGGACCTCGCAGACGTTCATGTGTTTCAAGACCAATTAATCTGTGTAACTGACGACTGTGGGGTCATCGCAAGAGATCTAACCTGTTCAATATTCAAAGCTGAACTCTTGGAAACCGATAGATATGTGACTGAGGAGCACTGGGATCACGATTCTTGAATAAAGTGGCAATTATACTGCGTAACAGAAGACTGCGACAACTACGCAAAAGAGAGAGTCACTTTAATACTCGAAAGAGTAGATTTGGAAAATGGAGAGGCCACATCGGAGAATCTCGACGATACTTCGCTACTAGAAGAGAAATTTAAGGTTTGAAAATATTTCAGCAAAAATTTATGCTCTCTTCTTTGTAATTAAATTCATGCTGTACAAAACTTGTGCCCCGTTTCTTCTATTTTTGCGTGCATGCTTGTTGCATTACAAATCTACTGCCTAGCATAGATCAATGTTTCGTTGTTTCGCCGTCGTTAACTTGCAACGGGTCTCTATTTGCTACAATAGTGTGCATACTAGAGTTCCATATAAGAGTCTAAATATTGGGTGTCCAAAAGGAACCGGACACTTCGTAACTGACTATGTAAAATGCCGTCATGTAAATTTGTAACTACAGATGACATTTGCACCTGATTTTAAAGGCGGTAAATATTGCTGTGTTTGCGTGGACCGGGAATAGTTGTAAACGATAGACCCGTCCTCTCGTCAGAGAGGGCGCCTAACATGAACAACCCCACAACTGTCTGACAGTAACAACAAATTGGCTTTGGCCCAAAATGCGGCTTGATACCAAGACAGGCTGGCCGACTGACAGACGGTCGTAGCTTAACTTTGACTTTGACTTTTAGTAGGTCAAGAATATGAGTTAATTGGAAGTCAGTCGTCAGCCAGCCAGGACAGCGGCCGTTGAGGATGGAAGCAGTAAGATAGATACCAAGCAATGTATACGTGAGAAACAGCGAATTGAGAAAACTGATATGTTCTAGAGATTTGTATAGTGTAGTGTAGTGTAGTGAAAGACGCAGCAGAAAGATAAGAATTTTTGTATTATTTCCACCTGATGAAAATTAATAACTGGCCGAAACATATAGTTGAATTAACCAAGTCTTATAAATGAAGTTTTTATGATGTAATGCCATAATCGTTTGCGATATTTGAAATTCAATTGCGAATATATACACTAAAATTTTGTGAAGCGATCATCTAAGACATGGTCGAATTAAAACCAACCTTTCTGAGACTTTCTGTATCAATCTACAAAATCTACCCTGAAGGTGAAGACAGAAGAAGTCTCCGAAACGTTAGCCTTTACCTCAATCACGATGCATCAGCCATGACAAAGTTAATATTTCTATCATTTTACAACGAATCTGATACCATTTTCTGGAAAAGAAAAACCCGTATATATTAAGAGTGCCCGGTGGTTGTATTCATGAATTTTTCACTGTATCAGACTTGCCCAGAATTTAAGGGGATTCCTCAGTATTTTTATATATAGTTTACGTCTCAAATACGTTATGGGTCATAGAGAAATATAGGGGGAATTTTCGTTGTAGTCATTGGATAGATGTTTGGGTGGGCCCCGGAATCGCTCTAGACACCAGAGAATACAGAAAAATTTGACTGTTGCTGGAATCGAACCAAAACGGTCCAGCCTGTAGCTCGCCACTATACCGACTGATCTATTCTCCGGTCGCTATACCGCTGGGCGTTAACACCATCATATACCCAGTAGAAACGGGCCTGAGCTTCAAAGACGGTCTGTATGGCTTATCGAATAAATATTACTGCCCCAAAGCCATATAAAAACCGGCCATCCAATCCGTACACTAGTTACTATGCTGACTGAGCTATCTTGGCTCGAGGTAATCGCTAATCAATACTTTTCTTACGTCAGAAAAAATAATGATATTTTTACCGTGTATATCTACGTTTTTAAACATTATATGTTTCGACCTACCTACGGGCCATTATCAGGCGATGTAAATACACACAGAACTCGAAGGAATGAACGAACTTCGTGGCTTTAATCCACAAGAGAACTATACCGACCGAGCGACCGCCGCTTGTCGGCGAAGTTAGTGCCAACTTTAGCGCATAGAGTTTGTCGCGTGGTCAGCGCAAAGAGTCCCCACGGCCGTTAATTTCGGTTTTCTAGACTGGAGCCGCTACTTTCCATTCAAGTAGCTCTTGAATTATCCTCACGAGGCTGGTTGAACCCCGTTCCAGACCCAATACTTCTCAGAAAATTTGGTAGCGCCGGGAATCGAACTCTTAATAACAAGACCACAGGTGCGGTCCGTATATTGTAATTAATCTCTGAAATTATAATTAATCTATTAATTCGACTAAATTGAATCATTATAGCCCTTAAGCCGGGATAGCTCAGTCGGTATAGCGACGGGCTTGACGGCTGGAGTTCGATTTCCGGCAGGGGTAAATGATTTTTCTCTGCTCCATGGGACCCACCCAGCCTCTTATCCAATGGATAACGGGGGGCTGTTTCGCCGGGGATAAAGAGTCCTGGACTTGAAGCTGACCACTCACCTCCATCTAGTGCCAAGATCACGAATGATGGAGTTATGCCTTAACTCCTCCATACATCTTCGTGGTTTGTTGCTTAATTAATTTAGCTCAGGTATAAATTTACCTTTTTACTTATAGTCCTTAATTATATCGATTTTCAGAGGTCTTACTTCCGTTTCCATGACTACGCCTCACGTTGGGCTATAGAAGTACAGTACCTTGAGTACAAAATCTCTTGTGTTTCCCGGTAACAGAATTGTCTTAACTTCCATAAACAGCACTGGCGCTGTAGCAGTGGGCACCCTTTCTTGTCCAGAACTGTCGTGCTTGACAGCAATGCCTTTTCACGTTTATTTTGATGGCAATCCTGTAATCTGAGCTTAGGACTTGCTTATTACATGTCGCATTACAAGATAACCCCCTTTTTAAATTTGCGTTAGGTCCTACGCCTTGATTCCGTGGAAACAGTGGCAACACATTCTGACCGTAAGGGGTTTAGATATTAGCAGACAGAAAGCTAGTGAAATATCCGAACAGAAGGGGGCCCGAGGAACGATGACGTGGAATTGTATGTGAACGTTATAGAAATGCAACAGAATGCTTAAATAAAATATAAGAAATACGTGTTTAAATAATAATGGCTCATACAAATTCATCGAAGGTTTGTTACATGGTCATTATTTTTATGAGGCAAATAAATTGGTAGTTATCATATTCAGAAATTCTGGGGCTTTTTATTGACCTTTCCCATCGTCCGGTATTCTAGAATCTAGAAAACTCGACGGTTCGGAAACAATGTTTTTCCGTCCTCATGACAGGGGAAATAGAGACACCTACTCAGTTGGGTCCCTTAGAAAGATCTAATCTCAATCACGGGAGTGAATGGGAGCCAACTGAGTAATGTCTTCCCACCCTCACCTGAGGACGGAAACAGATACAGTTTTCGAAACGTCGTTTTCTAGTATCTAGAATACCAGGACGATGGAAGCAGTTTAAAATCCCAGTACTTCTGAGTGTTATACACCATCGTCAGAAACATTTAAAACTTACCAGTATCATATTGTTAACTATTTTAGCCTACTTACCTTCGTATGCGATCTCCATCCTGTCTGTGTGTCTGTGCATTCTCCCATCAACTTTGGATTCCTGGGTCAATTTGTGAAACTTCATAGTAACATAGCCCATCCCAACGGCGTAATTCACAAATCCCCCCACCACTCTGTGTGTCTGAATATATATCTATCCAATCGTTGCTATACAACGGCCCGGTAAAACCCCCTTATCGTTTCTAGGAAACAGCTCAGTAAAAACGTTCCCGCGGCAACGAATACATGCTACAATAGAATAAATGTTACATGTGTCATTTTATATGCGGTCCGCCTCTTATCCAAGGACAGCCTGTGGCCTGTCTATGTATTTCACTATCGTTGCTAGGTAACAGCTCGTTAAAGATTTGGTCGCAGAAACGAGAGATTGTTGAAGGCGTCTTTTTTTATGCGGTCCTTGTGGTATCAAAGGCAAGTAGGTGATTAGTTCTGTCCAGAATTTGTTTAAATATTTCATCAATCCACAAATCATTAATTAAAGAAACTTTCTTAGTGTCCGTTGCTTAACTTGCTAACTAATTCTATGGAGTACAAACTCTCCATTCAGAAGCTATTGGGCACTTGAGTTATTAACAATTTCTCCGGCTTTATGGAACTCTGTGGTTCAGTGCCTTGTTCACAAGGACCGTGAATTGTTGCTATTCAAAGCCAGATGAATTCAGCACCTCTCCCAGCCGATTTATTTAAGATCAATATTAATTTTATCCTCCCATTTACGCCTAGGTCTTCCAAGATGTCTTTAATCTTACGTTTTTCCCGTATGAACTTTTAAGCCCTTCTTGACTAGTTCAAGCGCGCTACAAGCCCAGATCATCTCATCGTCTTAATGACATGCGTTTAGAGTTACACGTTATGAAACCTTATTTGTGCGAATTTTCCCCATTGTGTTGTTTATTAATCATATTTAAGATATGAAATGTTGGTTTCATATATATTGTCACGTGTAAGGGAGTACAAGTGACGAAATGACGGGTTCTAGTTCGGATGATTGGATTTATTAACAGCTTGGTTACAGGCACTCTCTTGATTACACTCTAATACACAGCGCTTTCGCTGATTTACATACATCTTATAATCCACTGCACCTCTGTACACATAAAGTCTTCTAAATCACACTTTAGATCTTCACATGTCTTCTACGAACTCTCAAGTATTCCCAATACTCTCCAAATACGCCATCCTCAATACTCAACACTGCTCGTAACTGCTCTTAATTCATACTCAATACTCAATACTGGCTGAATAGCGTTTGCTGCTCCTTATATAGTCTCGGCGCGGAACACATAGAAAACACATTTCTGCTCGGCAACAGATATAAGTATCGCTGTCAGGCGTGTCTACCCACGCATTGCCTATCAATGGACGCCCTACTGTTGCGTGACTTCACAGCCTAGTGGGGAGGGATGTTTACCGAGCGTCGCGCAGCAACGGGATGAGTGGGGGTATGTGACGTCACTCGCACTTCCTGTTGCGCTATCCAAACGTTCACAGAGTTGTCGCCTAGCATCGAGCCGATACAATCCGCAACTCTCACGTTGTACGCGTGCCCCGAGGCCTCTGTGGCTCATCAGTTCCTACATAGAGCAAATACGCCACAATATTTACTTTTTGGTTTTGTGATGTAAACTTACCTATCTGCTTAACAGTGCGTGTAAAATTCACTCATCTTGGAGGTGAGCGCATCATATACCGACATAAAAGCTTTGCCATTCCGTCTAAAAGTTTACAGATCATATTACTAAAGTAGGTCCAAGCGAACAAGCTTATCATTCGACATTCAGCGAATTTTATTTCCGAGAGTGATCTTGTGCTTTAGGTCAGATATGCCAAGCGTATTTAATAATTCAATTAAATTCTTATTTATTTGCATGTTAACTCAACAGTCCAAGCACCAATTACAGAAAGAGTAACAGTGAAAGACAAACAAAATGTACAAAACGAGGCCATTTATAATATCTGCGTGATAATAAAGTAGTAATAATAACAAAAATCAAAGTTATAATTTAGGAGGTAATAATATAATGATTCGATTCTTGTTTATTTACACGCAAACTTAACGTTCCATACGCCAATTTCAAAGTTAGCACGAATACATAAACAGAAACATAGCAAGACACTTACAAACAAAATACAAAATAAGACAGTTTATATAATAATAATAATAATTCCATGAACGGTGGAAATTATCATTAACAGGTTTGAAAAGTAAAATAAGTTCATTTGCAAAGGGTTTATGCCATTATGCGGCGAGAAAGGATAATATTCATACATACATAGATACTATTAAATCAATTATTACCTCATAAAATACTATGGTATGTAGACCCGTTGCTATCCAACGACAGGGAAAAAACGACTAGACAACGGCCGTTATTAGCCAACAGTCCATGAACAGCAACAGGAATGGTGTTCTCTGTGACGTCTGTCGAGATGTCATAAGTGGTACAAGTTAAAGCTACGGTCAGTCAGTACAGTAGAGTGAGTTGCTTGGTGAATGAATAGGTTAGTTGTGGGTGTGTCGCCAGCTGATAGGAACGTGAGCATAGAAGAAGAGGACATTACTTGGGTTTGTCATCAGGCAACGAGTGGTGAAAATACAGCATACTGAGAATACTTAGCATATGCTATAGTGAATTGCAGAATGTAAATTAGCGATAGCACATCTTTCTTGTAAATGCTGGTGGTTTATAACTGTAGATACACTACATACCACATATAATTTTTTGAAACAACACAAAATCAAATAAATGGCAGGGCATGGAATTGCCTCCTACTTGTAGGTTACTTGTGGTCGTGTATAGTCCCTTTAAAGAGAAAGAAATATCTGTCAATATCTCAAGTTATTACAACATTTAAAACAAAATTGTAAATATATATACTATCTCTGCGTTATCATAAAAGAAGCTGTATGATGGCTGCAATGTAAATCAAAGGAAGGATCATTTCCTAACTGAGGCAATATCCCATTGCCTGGAGACAACGTCTATCGTGACCAAAGTCTTCGTGTTTTCATCAGTCCCTCCTTGCATACTGTCCATATAGTGATTCACCAACAGTGAATTCTGTATAGCCTAAATTACCAAATATTGCCACCCGTGTGTGAGCGATCTCATTCTATCCCTGTTTATCATTTAGATAGTCTGTATACAGAAGAATATAAAAGAAACTTGTAGTAAAATCCGTAAGGGTAAACATTTGTCCGATAATTTTCCTATTCAAATGGTTTGAAAGAAGGAGATGCTTTATCGCCAATGCTTTTCAACTATGCTTCAGAATATGCAATTGGGAAGTTCCACAAAAACCAGATGGGATTTAATGTCACACATCAGCTGCTGCTCTATGCTGAGGATGTGAATCTACTGGGTGATGATATAGATAACATTAACAAAAACACACAAATTTTAATTGACGATGGGAAGGAGGTTTGTCTAGAAGTAAACGTAGAGAAAACTAAGTATATGGTGCTGTCTCGTCACCAAAATAGAGGGCAAAATCATGACGTAAAGATAGGTCACAGATGTTTTGAAAATGTGGCACAGTTCAGATATTTTGGAAAGACTATAACAAATCAAAACCTGATTCAGGAGGAAATTAAGAGGAGATTTAATTAGAGTAATGCTTGCTATCATTCAGTCCAGAACTTTTTGTCTTCTCGTCTGCTGCCTAAAAACATAAAAAATATAATATACAAAACTATAATTTTGGGTGTGAACCTTGGTCTCTGACATAAATGGAACAGAAATAAGTATTGTGACATGGAAGGCGCAACGGGAGGTAGTGGTCATGTGAAGTCTGTGGTTTCGCGAGCGACGTCACATACCCCAACTCTTTCCAAAGGACGCAACGCTAGTGTGGCGTCCCCTTTCCCTGCGGTGACGTCGCAGAAAAGCGACTGTGTTGTTATCAAAGATACCGCAGTTGCTACGCAGCAGGAGAAAACTCTCGACAGCATTGCTGGCAACACCGATAAACACGGCGTCAGGCAACAGCGGTACCTATCACGTAACTGTTTTCTGTGTTGTCCGCGCCGATGCTAAATAAGGAGCAGCGAAAATTATTCAGAAGTTGTTAGTGATTAGTGAGTGTTTAGTGAACCAGTTATTAGTGAGTAACGATAAACCAGTCAGTTGAATTGTAGTAGTCGCAGAGTTCAGTTGTATGGAGTGCATAACAGGAGAAATATTTGAGATACTGCCGATGGCAGTAATTATGAGATTGTAAATTGTGTCATTGTGAGTGTAATGAAGGAGCACAAATGTGTGCAGAAGGTATATGATGAAGGAGTACAAAGGTGTACTGAGTGTAATAAAGTGTACGTAATGAAGGTACTATAATCTAATACTGATATATGTCATGAATGGAATATTGTAAATGTAATAAAATATAAAGTGTAACTAAGTAGCAAAACTAGAGGGTTCCTGAATGGATTCAGTAACACCTGCTATTAATTACTATAATTGAAAGAACCCCTCTAAGGTTCAAGTAAACGTAGCATTTGGTATAATAGAGTAAATGTAAGAATAATGTATGAAACCAGTCTAGACACGTTACTAATAAAAGCTGTTATCTTAGTCACCCGCATGGGACAGATGACATTATGACTCTGATGTCGATGCGAGGGAGTAAACAGTCGCTCTAACCAATTAATTTGATTAAGGCGACCATATCAAAGTCTGAAAGTTAGGAATTGTAACATGTCGTGACAAGTGTGTGTTATAGGTCTAAACTGGGAAGATGAGCTGACTCACGTTCACGAGCGCAGATGTTTTGTAATAATGGTAGACGCTATGAGTGAACTTCGTTCAAGCCAACGCCCAGATTGGTCCTATAAATACATTAGCTCCAAGTAGCTCCAAGTATCATATCTATTGATCAATCTTCAGACGGCGAAGCTCTGCCGGTTTTCGGTTCGAGCCTTTAATCTGTAAACTTTCCTGTATCCTATTGGTAGTTGGAGTTGTATTTCTACTGTATCTATCGTATTTACCATCAGTGTATCAAGAGAAAATCTTATTAAATAACATTCTTATATTATGCAACCAAAAGACTTAGACCTTTTGCGTACCTACGAAAGGTATCCTGAAATTCTACGTGAGCCTTCTCTCCGGTGACTTCACCACCTCATCACCGGCGGCAACGACATCAGCGAGCTAAGGCCCACTTCACCACTTCACCACTTCACCACTTCATTACTTCATCACTTCATTACGTGAGAGCGAGTGTAATAAATTCGCTATATAGAGAAGGACGTGAAATTATTTGTCGCGTTATATACCCAACACGTGACAATATATTTTAATTATCCTATTACAATAATTTGATCAGGAATAAATTGTAATTAAGGCCAATGAGGTAATTAAAGTCACAAGCAACGTATTCTAAAATCCGCGTTCTAAAAAAACGTTGAGTCATGTTCTCACTCTTGGTGCAAATATGATGCGAAAATATACGTGTATATTCATAAATATTAATTTCTAAACGTGAAAATCGCGTCTTCATTGTGCACGAATATCTTGGATTATTCGAGACACCTGTGTGCAGTGTGTTGAGGCATAAGGATTTTAATACAAGCAATGTTACAGAAGTGTTTGGGAGGGTTCAACCGGGTCTTGTAGATAGATTATCCTGGAATACTTCCCCACAAAATGTTTAGCACGAACAAGTTCCAGTATTATACAGGTTTCACATTCAATTGTCTTCTGTCGCCTGTCTCTTCACAGCACATCTATATATACAGATAAATTTCTTGAAACGACGAACTTAGAATATTCTATGCAGTAAGAGAACCAAAAAGCTTACAATTTTGCGTGTAAGAATAACAGTAGACTTGTGTTCCTGTTGCAGCTTTAAAAGAGAAATAGTCGGGCAGAAATCAGAGGCGAAACATTCATCAGCAAAACGGAGATGCTGTCTGGCAACAATACTCGTATCTCTTTCACGTGATGCTCGGCTTCTTTTCGCACCACCAAAACTGTAAATGTTTATGTTGTCTGTACCATCACATCAGGAACGGTATCGTGATCAGCGGTTCGAATGATGACGCTTACGGTATCACGACGACGACTTCACAGCGACGAATGGCAGGATGCCGGATGAATTATGAATTGAAAGGCATTTAGAAGTAACCGGTAGTGACGTAACTAAGGTACTATTCCGGCATTTGCCTGAAGGAACTGAGGCAAGGACGAGATATATTAGTCAAGTTTTGGCCTAAATTAGAACCCACCATCTCCCCAGTAAAGGCCTAGATCTTTACCGGCAGACTAACCTTTCAGGCGGAATAGTTGGTGGTTCACGTAAATATCTTTTTTATTTTATTTGTACGACATATCACAGAGTTCCAGTCTGTTTGCATTAATATCTTCCGGAACAAGACACCGTTAAGTCAGGTACATAAGTATCAAAATTTCGGAGCAACTACACCTCCATTTTCAGGATATTATTAATCTGTATATGAGAACATAAAAGGCCGTACATTTTGTCTGTTTGTATTCTTGAGCTACCTCTCAGATCGGGACACTACATGATAAGATTTGTATGACTCTTTATGCACTGCAGGTTGCCATGAATACGGTATATATTACAAAATAAAATTCCACTTGCGATTTAATATTTTAAATTATATGAATATAATACTTCTATATTAAAATTCATTCATTCATCAGTAATCTGTCAGACGACAGGTCCACAGTCTCTTCCAAAACAGTTCCTCCACTTAATGCGATCTTCTGTTTTTGGAAAGAGACTATCCAGGAAAAGTGATGATGTGGTAGTTTTTCCATTTGCTTTCCACATCGCAGTACAACAACCGTTCAAACCACTCTGATCATGCCTGTTGCTATACGAACTTGAACCATCTCTAGCATCATTTGTTCTGTGCTTCAAGTCGCTGCTGATGACGCTGCTTCCGGCATCAGTTTTTGGTTTTTGATGTCTCTCTTCGTCTGATGCCTACCCTTTGACCTGTCCAGTAAGGGAGGCCATGCCAGTAGCTACACTACCGCTGGTATAGCTCTCAGGTTCCTTGGCATACTCAAACCCCCTCACCACGATTAGGCGGAGACACCAACGAGGGGGATATTAAAATATTGTACATTAATTTCAATTCTGCGACACAATTCATATAGTTACTTCTAAAGGAATGCGTCTTTCTTCCAAAAAAAAACTTAAATCTTACATTGATTTCTTTGTGGTAGATTAAATTCTGGCTCCTCTCTACTTTCCAGTAAACGAGTGTAATTTTACACTACAACAGAAGATTCAATACATCAATTAGCAAAATTAACCTTGATATATAATCTATTTTTACGTATCATATTGACCTATTAACATCAACTGACCTCCGTAGAAAACAGGCATAAAGCCAAACAATTATTGTTGCAGCTTGATACAAAACCCATCCTCCCACATATATAGTACATCACTAAGTATCTAAACAAGGGTGATAGAAGTAATGAACTTGGAGTTTAAAAAATTGGAAATTCGTGCCTGGTTAAACCTACAAAACTGATAACAGAGCACGCCAAGTACACGGCCACTATACCCGGCTGTAACATGACATGTGCCCACATTGAAGTGAAGTCGGCTATCTCAAAAATATTGGGAAATTACTACATAAATTGGGTGGGAATCACTGACACAAACATGTGGTAAGCCCTTTCCTACTCAAAGGGGTTTCCAACATAATTATATAAAACAATATTATTGATAACAAGTGACATGCGAGTTTCAATTTCGAGGAAATTTCGAACAAAGTATCTACCGATATATAAGACATGTAGCAAGTGGCATAAACCAAAGCAGGAGCCTTTGCCGCAGCAGTGAGAAGTCTCAGCAAATCCGATAAGGTAATAAATAATAGATACTTATGTTCTCTTAAATTCATTACGTATTGCCTTCCATTCCACTAAGTAATCTCTGACTAATTTTTAGATGTCAAGCCAGTTCTAACTTGTTGAAATATTAACCCCTCTGACGCTGAATCGGGTAAATTATGGCTGGAATATTAATCCTTCTGGAGTTGAAGCAAGGAAGTTGTGGCAGAAATATTAATTCCTCTGACGTTCTAAAAAGGAAATTCTGGCTGAAAAAATAATTCTTCTGACGTTCAAATAAGGAAGTTAATATAAGGCATTACTGGGAATTCGCTGTACAAATATAGACGGAAAATAATATAAGAAAGCCATAAACTAACATAAAGATAATAACCTATTTCCTAATCTAAGTAGGTTCTAATGTAATAACAGCCAGCGAGTATCTCAGCAAGAAATTAGGGATATATAGATTATGTAGCAATTACGAAACGCCAAACCATGTTGGTTGCCACTGGAGCGGGGAATCCCAACAGCTTCGAGAAGGTAACTGTCATTTGTTATTATTCCTGTGCTACTGCCTGAGACGACATACACGTACGTTCTGGACTCTTACAGTTTAAATAATTAAAGCATTTCAGTTTACTGATACCACACATGATATTCATGCAGAATTCCTGACGCTCTGTAACTACAACTAACTCATGTACCAGCAGTTGCCTGAGTCTGCTAATAACGTTCCGAAGGCGAGAGAGATATGGCCGCCTGTGACCCAGTGGTCAGGGTAAAGGGATTCGTAGCGGCTTCATGTCTATGTCTGCCGCCTTAACGACTCGAACTAGTGACAAATTCATGTTATTCAATACACAACCAGGTATGCAGTTACAACTGCGGTATGGCGAAACGCAGAAAAATTGAACATGGCCGACCATGAAACTGAAAAATATTTTGATATTGGGATCAGAATGAAACTATTATTTCAGGTAAAGTGTTGGTGAAGATGAAGACACAGCCTCCGTCGAAACAGTAGTGAACATCTAACACGAAAAAAACAGAAATGACTCCGTCGTGAAGATCTTAAAACTCATTCCCTTGTACACTGCTCGCTCGTACGGGACTGATTTGCGTGACGTCACATCCATGACGAGTTCTGACCGAGGCTATCACCGGAATTTTCTGTTAGCCACTATAATCCAGATCTTCCGTCTCCTCCCCATGGGGTGCAGGGACCGCGTGATAAAGGTAGAAAAGAAATTACAATGTCCTGATACCTTCTCGTAAACATGTGCCTGAGGGATATAATGGGAAAAAGTCCAGTTTCAATATCAACGAAATTCTGGCCACAAGAAAACAACAGAAGGCGCAATATATGTACACCACATCACAGGATGTGTTAAAACACATCCTGGCACACGTGTCAGACAACTACAGAATTTACATAGACTATAGAGCTGAGAGGTTATTCTCAAGTCACACATTTGCTGAAATAGAGAAATTACGCGAAATATAATCTGGTTTCTGCAACACGCAGTGTCTGAAAGCCATTTGTGGGCATCTTGAGAAATCCATCATACCAAGGATACCCCAGAAACTCCAAGTTCGCTACAATGAGGACTGCCATGTTCCTGTTTGCAATTTTGGTCGTGCTCGGCACCTTCATCGCACAGTACCCTGCAGGTAAGCTAACTTACTGTCACGTGTATGAGTGACTATAGAAGGGGGTTGCATTGGTAATTGTTCGTATTGATCTTTCACAATTCTTAATTACAAGAAAATTTTGCCTCTCCCACGGCATACAGACCGGTATTTGAGCTGATCACTCTCTTATCCAAGGGGAACCGAGGGCTCTAAAATACGTGGAGCTGTAACTACACTACCCCATACGTCACCATTTCGTGGTGCTTAAATAATGTAGCAGAGGGATAATTTTATATTTCCCTTATAATCAATGTGAATGACGAAATGAAGTATAGCTCTATGCATTCTGAACCTCGGTTCAGGTTCAGTCCCCCGCCATTTTCTCCCTGAGGAAAGAGCCCTCGGCACCCACTGAGTAGGAGACTGGGTTGTATCCAAGGTACACTGAACGTTATAAAGAAGAGAAAAATTAACTTCCCTCTGGCGGTAATTGAACCCCATTCCTTGGAGTTGACGTTTTCACGACAGTATCTATAAACTTTACTATTCTCTGGGATGTGGTTCCATCTAGTCTAGAAGAAACACGTGTTTCCGAAGTCTATATGACCTCCAACCTCAGTGCTTAAGTAAAAGTCAAGCAAGAAAACCGGCATTCAGCAAGCAGCAAGCAAATTTCTCAGCTTGCTTTTCTTTTCCTATACACCTCACTTCGTGAAACTGAAAAAGGAGGCACTGTATTCTTCTGTAACATCGGTAAGCCTCTGTCTGACTGCCGGCGTTACATCCAAGATACAGAACTCTCCACACCATATTCCTTTATCATGGCGGAGATTTTACCTGCGTAACTCGAAACAGAAACAAAAATGGGAGGTTCTTTCTTATCGGTAGAATTTAATTTCTATTTGCTCTATGCTGAGTATTGAAAAATAGCCTTCACAGCCATCCTTATTTTGCTCCGTTTTTTATAGAAGCGGCCTGCGATTTCCAGCAATGTTGGGTCACATGCCAGAGACAGTACACTATCTATTTCGAGAGGGCATTCTGTGACGGAGGTACTTGTAAATGTGGTAAGTTGTGTGGATACTAAGCGCTTCATCATTCACTGTGAAGTAGGCAAGGACGTTTTCAAGCAAGTCCTCTCAATTAGTCACTGTTCCGAATGCGCATGTACATGCCCTCAAGGAGGATAAATCTAATGATACAAAGGATCCCTGTATGAAAATCCGGAGCGTGTATTCCATAAACACCCGAAATACTGCAACGTACGTGTTTTGTCAGGTTTTGTTGCAAAACCCAGTTCGGAAGTGACCACTAGGAAGGAATAGACGTAGGTGGGAGGATAATATAGAAGTGTATCTTAGAGCAAAAGGAGGGGGAGTATGGACGGGCTACAACTGGCTGAGGATAGGGATCATTGGAGAGCTCCTGTGAACACGGTAATGAATCATCGGGTTCCATGAAATGTCGGGAGCTACATAGATTCTAAAGAAGGACTCAGTTTCTTGAAGTTAATAAATTGTTCGGTTATTAGTTAGTTGTCTGTGTTAGTAAAGTTAGTGTTGAAATAGAGACAGGAAATTTTCTCAAACCCAAAACTATGAATGAGAGTTTGTACAAAATGAATATTGATAATGGAGCAGTAAATTGTGCCAAAGTTCCCATTGGACATGAACCTGTGTGGACACCAGAGTTGGTGTTAACACTGGACAGTGAAGAAGCCATTTTCCACGTCAGGGATCAAATTCAGACTCAAGCCTCTTCAACCCTATTCTAGTCACCCTATTCACTAAGGTATTCTAGTCCCTTTGAAGCAGCAATATTTTTGTCGATCCTTAACCAGTATCAAATTTTCCTGGCAATTATACAAAAGAGTTACATTTTGTGTCTGTTTCAGTGTACCGGACATCATAGTCACGGAATTTCCCGTTAATTCTCAAATGGAGACGAGCAGCTGCAGAAGGACCACTTCTTATTCTCATGGGGATTACACACGCACACTTTTGTTCACGTTAAGCTTCTAAGCTAAATATCTGCTGTAACTACTGCTTACTGACTGTTTAAGTAGTTTAAATTAAACATTGCATATCACGAGGCATGTCTATTTCACTTCACTTCTAGTGTTATATTAAAAATATAATTACATATGATTTAGAATGTGAATAACAATAATCCAACGAACTTTTCTATTCTTACCTGTTTGCACACAAACCTGTCACATCCTTTCCTCATTTCTTCCATGCATCCGTCTGGAGGGACTAAAGAAAACTACGAAACCTTGGTGGCCTGATCACAGGAACTCGCACATAAGAAACTGAAACCCACTCACTCAGTTACGACGAGAAGTGAACACTAAGATACAATGCTTGTCTCATTCTTAACGGTGAGTCGCTTTCAGCAAAAACTGCATAAGCACGAATATAGGGCGATCTGCCACTGTGACAGAGCGGATATTCTCGTGCTTATTTATTTTTATTTTAGTAGTCATTGAAGGTCGCTTTAACATTGTTCTCCCTCCATTCATGTCTGCCTCCAATCCTGCAACAGTCCAAGCGCACTTCATGACTGCTGCATCCCCTCTGTACATGGGCTCCACTTATGTGTCTAGAGCTCCCTGTCTGCACAAAACTTGAGGGCCTGTACACATCACAGTGTTTCTCCTTAAGCAGCTCACTGAATTATGAAATGTATTCACGTCTCTTGGGTTCAGATATGTTCCTGAGCATATACACGTTTTCTTTTCAATCTAACACACCGCTTCTTTCGTTGGAACTAGGAAACTTTTAAGCTACCTACGTACAACTTTAGATACATTTCCCGGCATTAGGATATTACTGATGTCTTTGTTCTCACTATTCTAGTATTTGTACAATACGTGAAAATACAACATCGGACATAACACATGCCCCCAGTTTCGATCTATCTACCTGACTGATAATTTACTTGTGGGTCTCGCCAGAAAAGGCGGTAACAGAGGGATCAATGAGCCGTATCTTTCACCAATTTTCAACTGTCACAGAACTTCCTTTATATTAACGACAAAGTGCGTCATATGCACCACGATTTTAGAAAGTTAGGAACTTGGAGGTGCTACTCAAAATGTAATGGCCCAATATGTAACTTATTATTATCACTCGAATTTGGGGGGGGGGCACGCCCTAGCGTTGTTGGTTGAGGCGCTATGCTAGAAACCGGAAGGTCGCGGGTACAAATACCAATGAGGACATTGGATTTTTTCAATTGACCTAATCTTTCCAGTCGCACTATGGCCCTGGGGGCGACTAAGTCTCTAACAGAAAACAGTAAAAGGAATATTCTTGGGGTAAAGGGCAGCCGACGAGTAGAGCTGACAACATTGCCGCCAACTTTAAGCAGACTGTCTAGAAAATGTGAAAACCTCAACATCTCACAACCCCATGGGGCTCCAAGACCTGATACAGGGATACCTTTACTTTTCTTTTTTACTTTTAATTTACAGTACAATATGGCTCCAAAATGTATTCATTCATTCATCATTCTTCAGTAATCTGTCAAGACGACAGGTCCACAGTCTCTTCCAAAACAATTCCTCCACTTAATGCGATCTAGAGCTTTCTCCTTCAAATGACAGTATCCCCTTCTCTCCCCAAGGACATCCAGCAACTTGTTACGTCTTCTTCCTCGTCTTCTTGTCACTTCTATCCGCCCCTTTATCTTTCCTTCGATAACTTCTTTTAGAAGGCAGTTTCTGCGTAAAACATGACCAATCCAATTAGCCTTCCGTTTTCTTATTTCGTGCAGGATATTCCTCTGCTCACTGACTCTAATTAACACTTCTTCATTTCTCACATAATCGGTCCAACTGATCTTCTGCATCCTTCTCCAACACCACATTTCGAAGCTTTCCAGATGTTTCTGATCTACTGCCCTAAGTGTACAAGTTTCAGCCCCATACAACGCTATGTTCCAAATGTAGCATTTCACTAGTTTCTTTCTCAAATTTAAGCCCAATTTGCTGGAAAAAGATTCTTCTTCTTGCTAAATGCAGCTTTTGCCATGGCAATCTTAGATTTAATTTCACAAGTACACCTTCCATCATCTGTTAACAAGCTACCCAAATATTTAAAACATTTCACATTCTCCAGTTGTTTTTGGTCTATCTTTATTGTGACTGGAGTTGGTTGCCTCGAAATTTTCATTAGTTTTGTTTTTTCCACATTCATTTCCATGCCACAGCACCTTCCAATTTCAATTAGTCTATCAATCATGCCCTGTAGCACAGTTTCTTCCTTAGCCATTAACACAAGGTCATCTGCATATTTCAGTGTTTGAATAATTTGCCCTCCTACATTGAAGTCTCCGAGCCCATCCAGAGCTTCCTTGGTAAGGCATCCGCTGTACAAGTTGAACAAAATTGGTGATAAACAGCATCCTTGTCGAACTCCTCTTCCAATCTTCACACTTCTTGTCTCCCCTCTGTCTAGTCATACTCTAACTTTCTGATCCATGTACAATTTACTAATCAATCTTCTTTCACGCCAATCGATAACTGTTTAAAATAAATTATCCGCGAAAAATACCGGTGGTCGTCTCTCGATCTGTTTAAATTTATCCTCGCTGTTCACAGCACCGCACTTGTAGACTCCGACTGAATTCATGGTCCCTCTCTCCGACTCTTAACGTGGAATGTTTTTCCTAGTTCCACTGTTTGTATGTACAGAATTCTGAATGCTCGTCTGTGGGATATCTTTTGTATGCTCAGTGAATGTTGTAGGTGTACTAAGGGTGAAATTTACCCCAAGGGAACCCATTTTATTGGGAGCTGCATGGACTCCAGAGCCTGTTTGGGCGCTTTGGAGAAGAGAAAAATTGTACACTGCCAGGAAGGAATCGAACCCCGGCCTTCCATCACGTGCTCCGTCGCTACACCCACTGAACTAACCAGAAACCTTCCTTTCACAGGGTAATATGAAACGAGAAGAAAATATTGGGTACGTCATACGAATAGCACAGGACTTGGTTTGTCTTGTATGCTGAGAATGGCGGTTCTTTTGAACAAGAACTTGATTCACAGCACGGGGCACGCGGTAGCGTAGTTGGTTGAAGCTTTATGCTAAAAGCCGGCAGGTCGAGATTACAAATACCTAATCCTTCCAGCCGCGCTCTGGCTATGGAGTTGACTCAGTCTCTAACAGAAATGAGTAACAGGAATATTTTGGGAATATTCTTGGGGATAAATGGCGGCCGGAGCGTAGGGCTGACAACCTTGCTGCCATCTATAGCCGATTGTCTAGAAAATGTTGGAACCTCAACGTCTCACAAACTATGGGCCTCCACGGCCTGTTACAGGGATGTCTTTACTTTTTAGTTACTTGATTCACAGCAAGTTATTTGCAAAGTATCTTGTCAAAAGGGGTTAGGATATTGGGCACCAGTATGTTGCATATGTAGCCGAGAGTGACGAAGCATGCTCGCAGATGCTGCCCGCAACGCCGTGGGTGAAATTTCGGCAAACATGTTTTATACTGTGGCATATTTCCTCAAAGCAAGAAATGTGGAGTCAGAGAAGCAGCCGTTGCTACCGAACGGCACTGAAACAACATTCGATTCTTTACAACGGCCGCGAAACAAACAACGGACAACGTACACTGCTTGGCAGCAAATCCTTAATAAGCAAGAATAGACGGCCGATGCTAGGGAACGGCTCGGTTATCACGTTCTAGCGACATGAGATAAAGATGTAGAAGCGGAACGGTACTTTCTACATGGTCTGTTTCGAAATGTTACCAGTATAAGCAAGGAAGAAGGTTAAATCTGAGTCATCCCGTCTGGAGGTGGGCTCAAATACCTCCACCGAGACCCTGCGAGTCGTAGGAGGCGACGAAAGGGGAAGTCTCAAATCTGAGACAGTAAAATATAATCGCGAGTCCCAAGGGACTCGGACCCGAGAAAGACTGCGCTGGCAAAGCCAGCAGCATATACAAAATACAGACCCGTCCTCTCGTCAGAGAGGGCGCCCCACAAAAACAAGACAGTAACTGTCAAATAGTAATAAATATCTGGTCAAGATCCCCAGATGGGGCTCGACACCAAGACTTACTGACTGACTGACCGTCAGTTGCAGTGTGACTTTGACTTTTGAAGATTGAGTCAGTTCATAGGCGATGAAGAGAAGACGATGGTGTTTA